TATATATATATATATATAATATTTTTTTGATTCACTTGTTGATGGACATGTAGGCTGCTTCCATGATTCAGCTAGTATGAGTTGGGCTGCAGTAAACATGGGCATGCATGCACCACTGTAATATGATGTCTTTAACTGTTTTGGGGAGAATCCCAGAAGAGGTATAGCTGGGGCAAGTGGAAGTTCTATTTTTAGTTTTTTGAGAAATCTCCACACTGATTTTCATAGTGGTTGTGCTAGTTTAAATTTCCACCAGCAATGTAGCAGGTTCCTTTTCCCCCACATCCTCACCAGTATTTGTTGTTTTTTGAGTCCTCGATCATGGCCATTCTTTCTGGAGTAAGATGGAATCTCACTGTTGTTCTAATTTGCATTTCTCTAATGGCCAAAGATGATGAACATTTTTTTTTCATGTACTTATTGGCCATCTGTGCTTCTTCTTTAAAGTGTCTATTCATCTCAACTGCCCATTTTTGATTGGGGCTTTTATTTTAGGGGATCTAATTTTTGGGGTCTTCATATATTCCAGATATTAGTCCTCACTCAAAGAAGTAGCTGGAAGTTTTTTTTCTCATTCTGTGACCTTTTACATAGAAGGTCCAAAAAATCACCAGAAGACTCTTAGAACTAAGTTTAGCAAAGCGTCGGGGTTTAAAAAGGAACTTTGCTTAAAACCAAAGGGACAAGCATAATCTTTGAAGAAGAGCAAGAAAGGACGAAAATGACAGAATGCGAGATGTGAGGAAAAGGTGACACTTAATCAGTTATGGGAGGGTGAAAACTGCCCCCTAAACTGGATCTGGGGAAGATGAGACACCCGTTCCAAGCCCCACCGCATGTGAGCCTCTAGGTAACAACACGAGGGAAGGATTTGCGAGCAACCAAAGCTGGAGAAGAATTTCAAGGAAACTTTGTATGAAAGACTGACAGCAAGATAACCACTCATCTCAGAATTGCAAGACTTGGACCTGCACAGATACTTTCTGTCTTACACAAGATAAATAGATGGTAATCGTGGCTGAATTCAGAACCAGAGAACTAGGAAACATCCAAGACACCTGTTGAACATGGAGATGCTGGAAATAAGATAGCAGCTGCTCAGCAGGCCTGGCAGGAGGCTGCTGAAAGGCCCTGGCTGTTAGCGGGTAGCCACAGGGTCACAGACTGGGCATGCTCATTGTGGCAAAGGTACAGTTCAGGTGCTGGTGATGTGAGCTTAACCGTGATCTTGGATAGACACTCCCCGCCGCCCAGCTGTCTGGGGCCCCGATCCTGTACCTAGCGTGGGAGAATCAACAGGAGACCTGGGAACACAAGCAGAACATGTGGAACGGTGTGGACAGGTGCAGTGCTGGAGCTGAAACAGCTGCATCAGGAATGCTTGCTGTTACCACAGCATCCAGGAGCCGAGGCCACTGCATAGTCAGCCGTGGTCACTGCACAGTCCTGGGCCCAGCTCACAGAGCCCGGAGGAAGAACACAAGTTGCAAGCGAGATCTGGTTTTGTTAGTATTTGGTTAAACTCCTCCTTCTCAAACTTACACTGATTTTGGATCAGAACAGAATGAGGAGGTGCATAGGGAGGGAGGACAGCCACTTCCTGAGTGTCCCTGGAGGACCTGGCTAAAAAGCTAGATGGGAAGAAGCCAGTGAGTTTTCCTTTTTCTTAACCCAGTGGTGAATGCACATCTCAGTAGGGCTCAGATAAGGAGCAGGTGCCATGCAGGGCTGAGTGCTCCACCTCTGATGTTCTCAAGGGCACTCACTGCCTAGGAAAGACCAAGGCCAGAAAGGAAACACAGCCTGGATCTAAGAGAGTCAACATCTCTCTCGGAAGGTTTCTCGTGGGATCAGAGACTAATGGGTTCTATTCTCACCTTTCCTTTCTTAGGTGACATGTCCTTCACTTACTGGGATAGCAGGCAGCTCACCAAGAGCAGCCCTCTCTGTCCATGTGGAGCCTGGCCACCATGCCGCTCGCTCCTACTGGGGCAGCATGAGAAGCCGGGCCACATGGCACCTCTCCTGGGGGCTCTACCACCCTCTCAGGTGGGAGGTTTGTAAACATCTCAGCAGGCTTGCTTCATCCAAGCAGAAGGATTTCGCTATTTCAGAAACACCAATGGATAAGAAGTAGGGGAGAAGAAATAATAAATGATGATACTAATAATGATGATGATGATGCTTTGATTCATCCTGTGGCCATGTAACTCACTCACTCGGTCCTTTATTCTGGATAAAGATGCCCAAGATGCCCGCAGTCTTCTGCTGCCACAGTCGTACAAGATCTCCACCACTTATCTCCTGGGGAAGAATTCAAGAGGCCTCCAAGGTCACAGGTACTTAAAAAAACTAGTAAGGATTCTAAAAATCTTATCTCTAACATTTTTTCCTCCTCCTCCTCCTCCTCTTCCTCCTTCTCCTCTTCCTTCTTTTCTTCCTCCTTCTCCTCCTCCTCCTCTTCCCCCTTCTTTTCCTCCTCCTTCTTCTCCCTATCCTTTCAGTGCTGGGGGCTGAGTCCAGGGCCTGTGCATGCTGGGCAAATGCTCTACACACCCAGCCCCAGCTCCCTCACTTGTAAGCAATAGCTTAAATGTTCACATATATATTTCATGCTGCCTTACATTAAAAGGTTTTGAAGGGCCCTTACTCAAGACCTGGGGATGCTCCCGACTTCCAGGACCCCAGAACATGCTCTCTACCAATACACAGGGCACCCATGCATATGTATCCAGGCGGTTTGGCCCGTTTCCACTTTGGACCCAAATAATGTGGTGGTTATGAGCATAGACTCTGGGAGCCTTGAAGCCTTAGATTCAGTCCTGGCTTTGGTATCTGACCTTGGAGGAGTTAATTCTTCTCAGTCGTAAGTGCTTCTCCAGTGAACTGGGGTCACTAACAGTATCTACTGGTGGAGCTGTTGATAGGAGCAAATAAAAGGAAGCAAGTAATCCATTTATCAGAGGGCTGAGACACAGGCCCCAAGGAGAAGGAGAGACAGTGAGACAGACAGACAGAGAGAGAGAAATCCAGATGGAGCTCATCTCTCCTGCCCCTGCTTGGGAATACTACGTGAACAGGTGGCCATGCTGGGGAGCTCCTGCCTGGACCCACAGTACTGGACAGGGGAACTGACTACCCTTCTAGGTCCAGAGCGAAGACCACCTATGATCTACAGAAGATCTAAGAGGGACATTCCCTTTGAGTAAATGCTCCAGAGTCTTCGATAAGAGGTGAGGCGGTCAGCATCAGCCAAGACAGGCCTGTGTGTCTAGTAGGCATTTCCTACTGAGCTGGGGCCCCAAGGCCCGAGGCTGCAGTTCCTTCTCCTGAAACATGAAAATGTGGGGTACTGGACAGACCAAATTAGGAGCAAAAGAGATTTTATTGTGGGCAGCTCAGCAAGGGACTTCTACTGCCTGAAGAGCCCCAAATAGCAGTTTACTTTCATTTTTTTCCTTTTGGCTTACGGGGGCGCTTTTTCTAATTGGAGGGGAAACAGCAGAAGCTACATAAGAGAGCAGCGGTTAAGGGAGCGGCACACTGGGGGCAACTTCCAGGACCATTACGCCTCAGTGAGATTGCACAGAGCTGTTGTTAGGGATACTGTGTATCTTCCCCAACAGGGCAGTCTGGGTTTCCTCTCACTCCCGAGCAATTTTTCATTTATTTGGTTTTAATGATAATCTTCCTCCAGAAGAACTTTACTTTATCAAAGTTGGAAATAGCCAAGCTGAGAGTTAGAATTCTCATGTTTCTGATGCACGCAACATCTTCAGTGGGGCTCAAGGGCCTTATGCTGAGTCCAAGAAATGCATCTCCAAAAGTCACCTGCAGTGCGAGTCCTTGAATTTAAAACCACAAAATCATCCAGATGCAAGGCAGAGTAAGGGTTGCCAGAGGCTGGGGCAGGGGAAGAGTGGGGACCTCAGAGGTGGCACGAGCGAGCCCTTCCCAGGAAAGGCCGCTAGGGTTGGCAAACAGCTGTTCTGACGACTGGCACCCAGGCCCTGCGATTGTGAAATATTTTGAATATAACTCTTAGTCTTGCAAGATTTTGTTTTGTGTTCCATGAAGTGAAAGCAACAACAATAACAATGGCAAGTGCACAACTCTTTGATGAAACATCTATGCTTTCAGGAGTCCTGAAAGTTAACATCTTTTTTTTTTTTTTTTTCCTAAATGTAGGGTCTGCAATAAGTATTTTGAATTTAACTGTTGGAAAGAAATCTGTGGCTAGCTTCGTGACTTGTAACCAACTCTTCTTGCTGTTACCATATGGTGTTTCCTTTAATAAAAACATTTTGCAGAAATAATGATAAAAAATTACTTTAAGCTTTTATAAAAGTTAGAAGTTCCTGGCAATAAAAACACCGCTTATCATCATGTGGATCGCTGTGTGTCTGGTAAACAGGAAAAATTCTGCTCTCCTTGCTGTTCTACTTCTAAGAAATAATGATGCATTCTGTGTGTCATTCACCTGTGGGCATGTTCTGATCCTCTCATTCAGCGACCTCGCTTTAGAGCGTAGTCATGTGCATTCATGGAGTCTGCTCTATTCATAGGATCCCACTTATTTTACAGTTTGCAATAGAACAACATATTCTCTCTCTTCAGAACTCTGGCACACGGTGTCAGTTCTGACAAGTTCAGCTGCTGTCAAAAATAAAAAGAGACCTGGCTCAAACACATTCGTAACTCCTGGAAGCACGTGGACAGCTGTCAGTGGGGACTTGAGCACATGACCCATGTCCCTTCTGTCCCACTGTCCCTTTGGCTGCAGGACGGCTGCTCAGGCCCCATGGCAGCACTGCGGGAAGGGCAAAGGGGCATGCAAAACAAAAAGCCTTCAGGAAACCTCACCCAGAAACTTCTGCTCAGTCTTACTGCATAACCCTGGTCTCCTGGCCACCTCTCCGCCAGGGAGGAGGAGGTGACAGCTGACAGTTAGGTCAGCTAACTGATGCTGTCCTCCATTCACTCTGTTCCAGAATGCGGAGAGGGCTCACTTGCCTTCCCATGGGATCTCACTTCTGGTGCATATTCTATTTCTCATTTCCTCCGCTGCCTTCAGGATCTCTTTGAGTGGTTTTGCATATACGTGTGAAGTGTTCACTGCTCAATTTTACTTCTGTGACAAGTAATTGTCCGATCTCCCTTCACGTGAGCTCAACTGTGTAGCTGCTTATGTCTGTTACCTGTGACATTTGATTTCCTTTCCTTACTTTCATTCATCAGGCAAAGTGAAAGTAGAACAAGTTTAAGTCAGTGTCTTCATGCAAAATCGTCTGGCTTAGTGTGGGGGGAGGGTGGGCAGAGCCTCTTATGCTAATGGGAAGGTAGGGACAGGAATGGCCCAGGAGATGGAATGCAAATGCTCCCATATGCAGCAGCTGAAGCAGTAAATTGGTCTGCTAGGTATTTAACCATCTCTCTTAGATACCTCACCCTTCTGGATTAAAAAAAGAAGTGCTCTAGCACCTAAGATGGTTTTAAATTTATAAATGAGTTGAATTCATGCTGCTCTATTTAAAGATCTGTAGCCATTTCCACAATAAATAGCAGGGGTACAAATAACTTTCTAAAAATTCCTTGATATTAAGCTGGGGACATAAGATCCCAGGTTTTTTTTTTTCAACAACTAATATTATCAGTAGGACTTTTTGTATTTAATCCACAAGATAACCAGGTGGACATTCGGTTGATGTGGGCTGCATCCTATAAAAAGCAGTGGACCCTGTCGGGTCTTCTCAGAGGCAACAAGTCAGGAGGAGGGAGGCAGAGGAGGAGAGGAAGGAGACGTAAGAGAAGAAAGAGGGCAAGGAGGAGAACTGTGTCAACAGCCAGGCGGTCCCTGGAGATGGAAGGCCCCAGCTGTGCTAACCAGCCTCGGATGAGGCCTCAAAGCCTCACCCACCTCAGTTCCTGCCTTGTGTGTTCCCCTCACCCTGCACTGCACCAGGACTGGACTGTGGTCCACAGATACAGCAGAAGGGATGGTGTGTGAGCTCCAAGCTAGACCACAAAAGGCAATGTGGGCTCTGCCTTGCCCTCTCTCTTGGGGGCCCCTCGCCCGCCCTCAGAGGTCAGCTGCTATCCTGCCCTGCAAGGAGGGCAGATGGTGAAGAGCGGAGCCCTCCCTGCCAGCCAGTGGGTGGCCTCACAGGGGAGTGCTCAGCCCTTGGGGGTCCTCAGATGGCCAGTGCCCCAGCTGACACCTTGACGTGACCTTGTGAGAGGCCAGAGGGCAACCAGTCTATCAGTCTGTTGGCCTCGATCCCTGGCATGGTCTGTGGAGGAGATGTGTGTGCTGAGCGAGCCACTCTGAGGTAGTTCAGTAGCAGCAACAGAGGCACCCTCCTCCCCTTCCTACGGGGCCAGGCGAGCTTCCCAACTTTCTCAAGAATAGTTTCCGACAAGAAGGAGGAGAGCACAAGGTGCACAGCGTCAGGCGCAGGCCGGGCCCAGGGGGTGTGTTCCACGGGCGGGGTGGAGAGGAAAGCCAAACAGTGCATGTGAAGGTTTAGGAAGCCGCCACTCCTCATTGCCTTCACGAATAGTGGCAGTGACAGAGCTTTATGACGGGCTTTCAGACTACACTGCAGGTTGGGATCTCAGTGCAAAACACTGAGATCCAAAATGCTCCAAAATCTGGGGGTTTTGAGTGTTGACAAGATATCACAAGTATGATGATTCAGTGTATACAAACTGTGTTTCATGCACAAAATTACTAAGGATACTGTATAAAATGACCTTCAGGAAGGCTCACAAATCAGAGGAAGTACACACAAAACAGAAATGAATTTTGGGTTTAGATTTGGGTCCTATCCCCAAGATGATTCAGTAAGTGTACGTCAATATTCCAAAAAAAAAAAAAAAAATCCAAAAACACATCTAGTCTCAAGCGTTTTGGATAAGGGATGCTAAAACTGTGGTAGGTAAAAAGAATGGTTCCTGGAAGCAAGGGCTGGGGTGTGGAGCTACTGTTACCATCCTCTCAGCCACAAGACCAATTACAGGCGATGCTTTGCTTTACATCTTCGTAAATGGGGCAACAGGGCCCTGTGAGGTTGGGAATCTGAGAGCAAGAAGCAGTGGAGCTCATGCAGCCAGGACTCGGGCCTGGAGCTGTCTAATCGGAAGCCCCTTGGTTGGGTGCACGGATAGGAGCCAGGGAACTTCCCCCCAGGAAGCGCAGGATCGAGGGAAGAACTCGTGGAGACATCAGGTGACAGAGTCAGAGAATCTGGAGTTGGATTCCACTGTGACTTTGAGTAAGTTAGTTAACCTCTCTGAACCACTCACAGACAGATAGCTAGTAATTCTATCATAAACAGTCAGGGCAATACGGTAAAACATCCCTTGAGGCGACCCTGAAAATAGACATTCTAACTTTTTAATACGATCTGCAAAATAACCAGATGATGTATCTTAGGATGATGTGGCCTATATCTTCTAGAAGCCTGCTTAGTTTATTGAGTTGGTCTTTTTACAGGCAACAACTGGAGAATTATCTACACTTAGACAAAGTATACTAAATTATGGATCGGTGTAGTTTCTGGTCTGTCTGTCTGTACGATGTACATATGTCTATCACCTATTTTTCCCTCTCATATATAGAAGACCCTCCTAGCTCTGGTGACCCATCCTCAGTTATATTAGTTCCCTATATAGAAGATGCACTTCATATAATTTCAATGTTGAAGGGTTATTATGAAGAGTAAATCAGATAATTTCTAAACGCAGTAACAATATTCTCTGGACACACCATGTGCTATGTTTTTGTTTTCAGTGCTGTGGGTGGAGCCCAGGGCCTGTGTGTGTTATCTCAGGCTCCACCCTGAGTTGAACCCCCAGTCCTATGAAGTGCTGCAGAAACCATCACTGTTATTTTCTCCACCACCTGCTCACTGCCCCTCCAAGGAGAGGGATTTAATCACGTGGGTCAGATTCCAGGGCACTGAAGATGGCACCCACAGAGGCATGGCTTTCCATGACACCCTCCTTCCTTTATAACTCAGGGCAAAGCAGAAAACAGCCCCAGGCCTGCTTCCCTCATCCCTGTACCTGGACCCCTTTATTTAGTGTTTTTTTTTTGGTACCAGGGATTGAACTCGGGTCCTTGCGCTTGCGCAGCAGGTGGCGAAACCACTGAGCTAAATCCCAGGCCCACCTGGACCCCTTTAAGAGGATGTTTGAAGCTCCATCTATGGGAGGCTCAGGTATTCCAGAGCCTCAGGCTCATGTCCTTTAGTGGGAGGATGCTGAGGGCTGGGCTGAGGTGACAGAGGTCTGGCAGGCCTCCAGGACACACCTGCTGCAGGCCACCTTTCCGGAATCCTAGGGCAAATGATGTGGGCCTACACTTCCTGTTACTCATTACCTACAAATCTGCACTGGAACTTGCCAAGGAGTGGTGGCCATTGTTCACAATGGGTTTTGGTGACCCCAGGTCCCTTAGTGGTCATACCCATTTAGCTCTCTTAAATGCAGTGATTGTTCTATGACAGCATGGTGATTATAAATAACAGCTGGCATTTCTTGTGGACATTCACTTACTTCTTACAGTAAGTCCAGTGGCGAGGCTACTCCAATCCCTATTCAGTAGGTGTAGAAAATGAAGCTCAGAGAGGCCCATGTCATAGGGTTAGCCAGCAAAGAGTAGCTGTGATCAGCAGTCAGAGCTCGGGCTTCACAGCCAGCAGCCCTCCTGTCTTCATGCCATTGGTGTAGAGCAGCAGGGGATGCTCTCGTTTGAGTTCATAACTGAACAAAAATGAGATGGGGCATACAGCACAGACACCACGGTCTTGACAACAAGCCCAGCTCTGGGCTAATTGTGACCGCCAATGTAGGGCATGGCAGTGGGGAGGAGGGAAACAAGGCAGATAAGAGCCCACTTGGGTAAAGGAAATACTTTAGGTACTTTGGAAAGAGTCATTCACAACTTTTTAGAGTAAAAAATTCCCTTTCTTGGGCCATGGTATTGTGGTCCCCTGTAAACATGGAAATGATTCAGGACCCACTCAATGAGTGACCAACAGAACTCCAATTTCCTCTGTTGAAAACCAAATCCTATTTTCACTTGTGGTATTTCATTTGTCTTTGCTTTTCTGGTTTTTTAATTACATAGCAGAAAGTGCGACTGTAATTTCCTCCCCATGTCATGATGGCAGCATTCATCAAGAAGCTTTTAATTCTACACAGCAATCGCCTCTCTTCAAAACTCCTGTTTCAATCTCTGCAGAGGGAGAAGGGTAGGATTTTTTGACCCTAAGGTTAATTATCTGCAAATAAGTTAAAATCACAGAAAACCTCATCCTGGGAAAAGAGAAGCCGAGCCTTACCTTCATGTTACTGTCTTGCTATCGGTGGTGGTGTGGAAGGGGGCTCAGGTTGTGCACCTGGTACCCCTGAATCCCTCCTCTTCCTGCAGGGTGGGTAGGGAATGCCAGGGCTGTCTTGGTGGTGCTGGCATTTTTCAGAGCCCAGCACAGTACCTGGCACAAGCAAAGAACTTGGGAACTCATGGCCACGAAGTAAATCAAAGGGAAAGCGGATGGAAGATAGGCTTTGAAACATTCTTGATTAAACTAAAAACTTAAATGTATGAAACAGCCCTATTTCTGAAGAAAAGAAGGAGAAGCAATGAGGAGGCCCCTGAGAGGCTGGTGAGGGGTGG